TCCTGTAAGTTTCAGGAAAATTCAACTGCTAAAGTTTGAGGTTGAAAGGATTACAGCAAACGGAAACGAAAGAATCGCATAAAAAATTGCGCTTAGTTCTAAAAAAGCAATATGTAGACGTTGGAAAAATTTCCAAATTTGATTGAGTTTAAGTGTATTGTTTTGCGTAAAAAAAAAACCAAAAAATCTGTTTGTTTTTCAACTCTTTTTTGCCCGCTGAAATAGTGATTTTACAAAATAGCTAATGTAAACCAGTTGAAGAATGCCAGAGAATTTTTGCGAATTAATGTCTTCCCTCTGGTTCAGCCTTAACGATTATAATACAGTAACGTTACAACGATATTTCTGAAGATTTTTTATCCTGAGTTCAAAACCGAAGCAGAAGAAATAAAAAAAGTAGACAGTTCTTTGCAGGATGTGTTCTATATCATGTACAATGATGCACATCCTGGCAATAAATCAGATTCACACCGAGGGCATACGAAAGGTGCAGCTTTTTTTGACGGAAACACTGGTTTTTGGTTGATTCATAGTGTTCCCAAATTCCCCAATCCAGACAAATACGATTATCCAGATTCTGGATACAACAACGGGCAGTCTTTCTTATGTATTACTTTGAGAACCGAATCACTGACAAACTTAGGTATTGAAAAAAAATTTTTTTATTACTGAATTATTTCATTTATAATTGAATTTAATAATACAACAGTAATAAGTGTTTGTTTCTTTCCCAAGTTTAGCCGAATATTTCAAATATACTACACCGTCAATCTACAACTCTCAATTGCCATCACAAATGGCTGCTGAGTATCCAGGAATGGCTAATGTAATTGCAAGGAAACCTCTTTCAAAAGCAATAAAAGTTTATTCGACTGTTCAACAACTGCAATCTGTTAATGGATTTCCATTCACAGCATTTGGCAAACATAAGAAATTCAATGCAGGTAAAAGCAACTTTTTTTCAAAACTATTATGAAATACATTTTCTATATTGTACATACTGCACAGATTTGTATGCCAAACTACTTGCACCTCACACCTCATGCTCATTTTATACCGAAACCTGGCCTAATGGAGCTACAAACTATCCATCTACGTGTAACACTGGAAATAAAAATGTGAACTTTTGGCTTATGTTTACTAAATTCGATCATAGAAAGTTAAGGATTGAATACAGAAGACGGAACAAAACTTTTTTTGCATAAACAAAGATTTTAAAATATTGGAAGAGTAGTTCAGAGTACTGATCTTTTTGTAGATATATAATATAGACACCATCAAAATCAAGGATCTAAAATTCACGACCACGAAAGATCACTCAAAATGGGCCGTTGCTGATCTGGTTGAATGTGGTTATGTGTGTGTTGGTGATATTAATAGACAGGTAAGAGTTTACAAATCAGTCATCCTGAAATATGTCAAAACAGTGTTTCAAAAATCTGCTACAATTTAATAGAACACGCAGGAAAAACAATTGAAAACAAAGTTGAAGTGTGAAATGTCAGGTCATAAAGAACTGTTCAAAAACAAATCTTCAGTTTCGTTTTTACAGATTTCTTTTTGTTTAGTCGCCACAGCGGTGCTTCAAATTGTTTTAAGATTCTCATGTAACAAGCTTTTTTTAAGATTTCTCAAAACAGACGTGGCGGTGGTACTGTGTGCTTCCAAAATGTAAAAATATGGAATTTGTACAGAAAGCTGATAAATAAAGTTGAACCCTGTCCTGTTTAAAGTGTAAATTTGCCTAGAATTTTAACAGAATAAAAAGCTTTAAGAGGCAATAAAGATTTTGCTACCACATAGAAAAGAACTCGTAGACTCTAATTTGCTTAGACATCAGAGGCATTAATTTTGCCACTTCTGTAAAAAATAATTCTTCGTTTTTGTACAAAAAATTAAAAATAAGGCGATGAATATGGACTAGTAGGAAAAGTTAGAAATATCAGTTTTCTAAATAACAATGATAAAATTACCTAAAACTAGTCTGAAATCTGTAAACGTTTATCGTTGAAACCTATCAACTTTTTTGACCAGCCAAATTTTTGACAAGCGTTATATTAGACTTTAAATGTTATATAGTGAGAACAGATTAAACAGTTAGATAAAGATGAAAGAAAATCTATTATAGACTTTATTTAAACATTATTCAAATCACCTTAAAAAACCAAAAAAAGCTCTATATCTCCTAATTATTACAGTGATTGAACAACTAAACCTATGCAATAAAAATTAAAGAGAGTTGGTAACAAGCTTATTTCTGTCTCAAACAAATTGAACAGAGAGACAGATGATGAGAAAAAGCTGTTCTTTCAGTATATCAGGAAGTTTTCTAATTAATTTAGTTTTTAAAATAACAATATAACAATCTCATGAAAAAACAGAACTGTAAGCCAATTGGCTCTGTTAATATTTAGAAATCAAGAACAAATCTGTAAGTTTTTTACGCAAACGTAGTGCCTCTCAACGTTTCAAACATTTGCTGTGAGGAAAACCGAAGAAGAGTAGAATGCGTTAGAGGCCAGATACTGCAATTTATTTCTGACAAGGGCAATGTAGATATGAAAGGCTTTATCCCAGAAAGCAAAAAAGCAAGAAGAATTCAAAGATAAAAGAATATAAGCACCCTAAGCTTACTGATACACATACTTCGATAAAAAATATTAACATTCAAGAACAAGCTAATGCCAAAATTCATAAAAAGTTACCAAAATGTAAGACTTTATCCACTTTTTATGCTTTACCGACTTTTTTCAGCTTCTAATTCTTGTTGTAAACGGATTCTGAATTTCTCCATTTGGCTGTTCGAAATCCTTCGAACTGCAGAAAAACCGCTAATGAGCTAAAAGTACAATAGGCTTTATTCATCTGTGAAAAAGTCAATAATCTAAACATCTTCATTTCTTACTCAACAGATCACAAAAATTTCACAAACCAGTTGACTAATTTACTTCAACTAAAAACGTATGACTGTAAAATCTGATGATTTTCATTTAGATATATTTTTTTGATTTGAAAAACCACAACAATGGGTTTCCCTAACCTTACGATTTCCTTATAAAGTCCATTTGTCAATATCGCTGATAAAAAATGAAGTATCACTATTGAACAAAAGTTTTCCTTTCAAATTGCCAAGACAAAGACACAAAAATCAAAAAAAACGTGTACCTCGACCAACAAAAATAATCCATGTATGAAGTAGGCAGAACGTTCTAATGGTAGTGGTCGATTATGTACACTAATGCTTAAAAATATCGCTACTGGTAGCTGAAGTATCAGACTTGTTATCCAGAAACCAGAAAGAGCAGAAATCTGAAGCCTTTTTTATTTATTTAAATTTGCTGCTCATTCGTAACAAATTCCTTCTTTTATATTCTAAGTTGAAATAATTTTAACTTTAACTGTTGCAGTTTCATAAACTAAAAAAACAAGTATTTTTT